CCTTTTCTTGCAAGCCATTTATTTGCTGTTTGTAAAAAAGTGCCATTCCTCCATTTTGATGAGGTAAAAGAGGAAGTCCTTTTTCATTTTTCTCTTCTTTGCAATCACAAGTGTATCTAGTCTTTAACCTTCCGCAATCACACTTAGGCAACTCATCATTTTCAAATTTATCTTTGCAACCTTCACAAGCCTTATCACTTTCAATCATTTCACCAGTTGCTTTGCTTCGTGTCCTTATCTGACAAACTGCTTTTTTTAAATCAAAGCAAAAAACACAAGTGGAATTACTGCTATGTCATTCTTCTAACTTTAAAATAGTGTAAAGCAATTCTTTCGTAATAATAAAGTAAACTAATTAACTTTTACTTCTATTTGAGCAGTGAATTCTGAGGTTTGATGTTTTTTATTTTCTACCAATTGTTGAAGTTTTTGAACTTGGTTTTAATTCTTGAACCTAATTTTTGAAAGCATTTCGTTTTTTAGGTAGAGCAGGCAAGGGGTTTTCTTTCTAAATAAAGTTGTCTATTTAGTTCTTCTCTTTCCTCGCTTTTTGCTAACATTTTTGATTTCTCTTCTAACTCTTCTTGTAATTTTGTATTTTTGCTACCTCCTCTTCAAGCATTTTATCAGACTTTTGTAGCATTAGTGATTTTTCTTTGAAATCTTCTGCTTGAGCTTTACTTCATTTTTCACCAGTTGCTACAACTTCCTTAACTTGTTCCTGTTCTATTTCTACTCTTTCTTCTAACTCTTCTACCTCTGCTTCTAATTCTTTAATTCGTTCAACTTTACTTTCGATAATGTCTTTAAGAATTATATCCTTAGCTGGTCGACCAAAAATTTCACCTCCTTCTTCAATTCAGTGGCTAACTCAGTGTCTTCAAAGTAATCTATAATAATTCTCTCAACAATTTTTTCTAAGTTTTCTTTGCCTTCCCATTTATAGTCATACATAAGACTATGTTGAAAACAAACATTCATAAATTGATTTCTTAATGGCTTGCTAATCAATTTTCTTAGATCTTGCTCAATATTCTTGCTACAATGAGGAAATCTATTTTTCATATCTACCAATATTTGGTGAATTTGGTCAATTGCTTCTTGCTTAAATTCAGC